TTTTGTAGATCTAATAATGACAATCATTGGACTAGGTACACAATCGCGCGTAATAAGTATTCACAATCGATAAAGAAAACTCGTTGTGAATATGTTCAAAGGAAGATTGATCAGCATCAAAACAACAGCAAAGAGTTATGGAAAATTTTGAAATCTTTATTAAAACCTAGTAATTGCAAACCGCGGTCCATAACTTTTAATGGCACATTAGAACAGTCAGAACAAGTAATTGCAGCTAAGTTTAATGATTATTTCGTAGATAGCGTTTCATTGATTAATCAATCTATTAAATTGGTCGATGAACCTGACGAAATAAAACAGCCAGTTAATAGTAGTTGTAGATTTGAAGTTTTTCACCCAATCACATTAGATGAACTTAGAGTTATTTGTTTTTCATTAGGAAAATCGGCTGGAGTAGATAATGTTAATGCTAGAGTTATTCAAGATTGCTTTCATGTCATTGGCCACATCTTGCTGGACCTTATTAATGAATCATTACAAACTGGACATGTGCCACAAATTTGGAAGGAATCCTTAGTGGTCCCTATTCAAAAAGTTGCTGGAACGATTAAAGCCGAAGAGTTTCGTCCCATCAACATGTTGCACACATTAGAGAAAATTTTAGAACTTGTTGTTAAAGGTCAGCTGTTGGAGTATTTAAATAGTAATAGTTTGTTGATACCAGAACAATCGGGATATCGGGAAGGTCATTCTTGTGAAACCGCGTTGAATTTGGTATTAGCGAAGTGGAAAAATAACTTGGAGTGTAAAGATACGATTGTTGCTGTTTTTTTGGATCTTAAACGCGCTTTTGAAACAATTTCTAGGCCCTTATTGTTAAGATCAATCAAGCGCTTTGGAATTACGAGTACTGCATATAAATGGTTTGAAAGCTATTTGTCTGACAGAACTCAACGGACTGTTTTTAATGATTCTGTTTCCAGTCCCGTGGGGAATAACCTTGGAGTGCCCCAGGGAAGTGTATTAGGGCCCCTGTTATTTATTATGTATATTAATGACTTGCGACGTGTTTTACGATTTTGCGACATTAATCTTTTTGCAGATGATACTGTGTTATTCATTGCAGCTAAGGATTTAGATGATGCCGTTTTACACTTGAATGAAGATTTGCGTTCTCTAAGTAGATGGTTGAAGTATAAGCAGTTAAAATTGAATACAAGTAAAACTAAATTTATGGTAATTTCGCGGAATCGAGTAAATGAGAACGTCTCTGTCGTAATTGATGATGAGACTCTTGATCGCGTTCGGGAGATTAAATATCTTGGCGTGATTATTGATGACACACTTAAGTTCAACTCTCACATTGACAATGTCATCAAGAAAATTGCCAAGAAGTATGGAATTCTATGTCGACTGAAAAACGATTTAACTATTGCCAGTAAAATACAGCTATACAAATCAATCATCTCTCCTCATCTTGACTTTTGCCCTTCCATTTTATTTCTGGCCAATGCAACACAAATATCGAGATTACAGCGCTTGCAGAATAAAATAATGCGTTTGATTTTGAGATGTAATAGATTCACTTCCTCAACTTTGATGTTAGACGCCTTACAATGGTTGTCGGTGAAGCAAAGAATTGTATATTTGACTATGGTGTTCATTTTTAAAGTAGTTAACGGTTTGCTGCCTCGATATTTGTGTGATCGAATTGAAAGAGGAAGTGACTTTCATAGATATAATACTAGAAACGCGGTTGAAATAAGAACACCACATTTCTTGACTTGTGCTTCACAAAATTCATTATATTATAAAGGAATAAATGTTTTCAATTCGATGCCTAGACATATCAAACGTTTAGCAACACTTACAGAATTTAAAAGACACTGCATTTCACACGTTAAAACTGTCTTTTGAACAGTTATCCAGTGATTTTTTTATGAATTGACAAATTATGTATCTTGACGAAGTTATCTCTAACGGATTATTTTATATGGATAGCTGTCATAACGACTTTTTAATAATTATTGTAGCACTGCAAAAACTATTTCTGTTCGCCACGAGGGTGATGATGGATTTTTAATATTTGATTTTATAGTAGATTAATTAAAAAAAAAGTAGTCTACAAAGGTTTGAGCCTCGCGCGCGTATTACGGATATAGAGGACTGAATTTAACATTTGATAAAAAAAATGCAATTTTGAAGCTTATTTGAAAGATACCTTGAGTTAGTAGTAAGTTTTCTGGCAAATGTTAGGGGTTCGTGAGCATTCCTGACATTGCTGAAAATTATGATAGCATCAGATTGCGGGGTTACTAGTGTAATAGGATGCTTTGTTGATTGTTCATTAACTCTTGATTGCTTGTAATACTTATGAATATTTTAGGTGGACAAAAAGGCGAACTAAGAGGTGGACGCCTGAGCTTTTCCACATTTATATCGCTGTGAAGCAACTGTAAACTTGAGAGGGAATCTATATCTGTAACTGAAACCAGTTCGATTTTGTTTGCCAACCTGGTTAAAATGTCATATTCAATTATCTTAAAGATAAATCGTCCAGCTCAAACCTTTGTAGGGGTAAGAGGTGGGACCATCATCATCATCATCATCATCTTAATATTTCCGTGACAATTCGAAGCATTTCTCCGGAAAAGTTCTAACAGATCGTGCACAAATTATGAACTATCCCGAAGTCCCCGGCAAGGTGACAGATAACCTTAGTTTCATGTACCCACTTGCAAATAGTAGATGTAGCCACACAACATAAACAAAGCGATTGTCCTTCACCGTCACAATGGCATTTCTCTATAGACCTTTTTGACGTTTAATCGTCTTTCTCTATCCAGCACACAGGGATGAACGGTTGGTTTGTTTTCCCACTAATCTGTTTCTCTCTTGCTCAAACTCCTTCAGTTTAAATGGTGCATTAGTGTGCGCCGTTTAGACATTAAAAAGCTCTATTGGGAATCCAACTTTTTGTTTCTCCATGTGTGGATGTCAAACAACAGGCAAGAATGCTATATGATAAGAGCGAATTTATTATGTTCGTAGTGAAATGAAATAATCGGAACAAATTGAAACCAAATTGAAATTGATGGAGATTCATTTTCTTATACAATCAAATGACAATAAAAATACTTTGCTGTCTTCTATTTTATTTTGCTCTTGAATATAATCAGCCTACAGATTTTTCTTTGTTGTTCTTTTGTTGCGATAAAGGCTTCCCTAATAAAAATGGTATGGTTAATTTGCTTAACGACGTGTTCTGGGTATCATCCAAACCATTTATGGAATAGTTCAATGATTTGGGTTATCGTTCGTTTATGGTTATTTTTTATTAGGGTTGCCATCCCAAGTAACAACTTAGGTTTTATGATGGTTCTGTAGACCATGATTTAGACTTGTAGTATGCTATAAAACCTCAATAAAACTTGCAATGTTGCTTGGGATGGGCCGTACGAATTAACTAAAGTTTACTTACCTGTGTTTCTCTATTCTTGTGTTCTTGTGTATTCTTCTGAAATGCAAGACTTCTGAAACTAAACTGAAGATACTCATGAATCACGACAAACATTTCAACATTAGAAGATATTACGAACGGCTTGAAAATATAATCGTAATGAGCATCTGCAGCATTCATCAACAATTTTTTTTTAAACTTTTAAGCAGGATTAAGTAAAAAATCATCGCAATATCTTGATAAATTGTGCATTGATTTTTATTTAAAAATCCGGCTTGATGAATATGCCAAAATCTTTGGAGGCATTAAGAATTCTATCCTCAAAAACTTACAAAATTGATTAAATTTCGCGGTGAGTAGCAGTTTTGCTGGGTGATGAGGAACATTTTGTAGATCCATTTAAAATTGAAGAAATATATAAAATTAAATTAACTAAATCAAATAAGGGTCTCACAAAAACTTATTCACAATGAGATTCTAAAACGAATAAATTAAAGTGATAATCTTTTGTTACACCCGTCCGTATCATTAACGTTATTCCTCACCAAACTTGAAGCCTCAAGAAACAGATGTGTCCATAAATTTGTATGTTCTATTATTTAGTTACACAGTTATTGGTAGAGTCACAATGACAACACAAATACCATGAAGAACTCTGAAAAATGTAGTGATCATATAAGTGAAGTGATTGTTAATCAGAATTTTCTAGAATATCAGCTAAAATTGAGCTCCGGTGATTTTTGCACATGAGTAATGGTCACAGATCCGTTGTAGCAAGATATTTAAAATTCAGTCAAATTGAATAGTAAATCACATATTTAGCTTAAATGCATTTAAGACCTTCGACATACGTACAAACTACACCGTTGTACCAACAATCAATACGAAACTAACGATTTTAAATTGGCTCACTACTTGACTAGCCTAGCTAACGATTAACGTACCCCATTCTAGTCGAAATTCTAGTACTACACAATATTTGTTTTGATTCGCTAAGTTCAGCACGTTTCTTCGGGACCTTCTGGGTCTTAGAGTTACCTCTATGGTAATAGCACCCTAATTATAGGCATCTGTCAATGGCTGCTGGGTTGATGGCAAGGTGGATGGAACATTTGTAGGCGTTGTAGAATGAAGGGAATGAAAGAGTATCAAGTAACCGAATCAAAATAGGAGACAAGGCCCTTATTACGAGTGTCACTTCACGGTGAAAACGAACTAAAGTAACCACTTGTCACTCACGGTGAAGTGATTACCGTGTAAATAAAATTGGAATCACTTCACCGTGAGTGATAAGTTGTCACTTCACCATGACCAATACAGAAAACCTGTGGGGTCTTCGAGGCTTCTTCATCTTCATTTTGCGCCGCGAGTGAGGTAAGGTGACTCGCTGTCTCTAGTGAAGTGATAAAAGTCACCTTATGTGAGGTGACTCTCCGTACAAATAAAAATGAGAGCCACCTCACTTGCGGCGCAGAATAGGGCTCTATAATAGATACCCAACTGTGTCTGCTCTCAATGCGAACAGATTTTTTAAAAGAAAACTGTGATATCATAAAACCAAACCCGAAACTCAACCATATTTTCTTGTCTGTTGTGTATTTATCAATTAATCATGTATTTCATTCTTACTTCTTACTCAGTATCATTCCGTTAATTTAACAGTAACAATCATAGTAAATTTTGATAAAATCCTCCTACATGGTTCCTGACTTAAATATGGAGGTACTCAGATTGTGTTGGGATTTCTGAATCCCCTAAAAAAAACCTGCTTGTTTTTTTTTATTCTATAACGTGAAAGCCAATTGCAAAAGCTCCTGAGAAACTGTGCGGAGCATATACACACACACTGGGTGATTATGACATTTAGAGTTTTTACTTTCAACTTGTATTATCCACGGTTTACGTTTTACATTTCTTTATGAGGGTTAGAGAGTGACAGACTACGAACTACGCGCTCAAATGGTATGTGCTAAGTTTAATCGACACAATATTTGGACATTTACTGCGGGCTGCGGAATTTCTTGCCAGCGAACTTGGCGGCTGAGCCGAGTTCCTCCTCGATGCGGAGGATTTGGTTGTACTTAGCCAAACGTTCCGATCGGCACGGGGCACCGGTCTTGATCTGTCCAGTGCTCAGACCAACGACCAGATCGGCAATGAAGGTATCCTCGGTTTCACCGGAACGATGCGACACCATGGTTCCCCATCCGTTCTTCTTGGCCAGCAAGTGGGCGTTGATCGATTCGGTCACGGTACCGATCTGGTTGACCTTCAGCAGCAGGCAGTTGCAAGACTTCTTCTCCACAGCAGTGGCAATGCGCTTCGGGTTGGTCACAGTCAAATCGTCACCGACGATTTGAATGCTAGTGTTGGCAGTCATCTTTGCCCAGGCATCCCAGTGATCCTGATCGAAGGGATCCTCAATACTGACAATGGGGAAGTCCTTAATGAAGCCCTGGTACATATCTTCCAGCGCATCTGGAGTCAACCAGGCGCTCTGGTCCGACTTGGGGTTCTTGAAGTCCAGATCGTACTTGCCATCCTTGTGGAACTCGGAAGCGGCAACGTCCATGCCGATCTCGACCTTGCCGGTGTAGCCAGCCTTGGCAATAGCATCCTGAATCAGATTCAGGGCTTCCTTGTTTTCCAGGATGTTGGGAGCGAAACCACCCTCATCACCGACGGCGGTAGCATCCAAACCGAACTTGGCCTTGATGACGTTCTTCAGGTGATGGTACACCTCAGAGCCGATCTTCATGGCCTCAGTGAAGGACGTAGCACCCGTTGGCAGGATCATGAACTCCTGCATGGCCAGTTTGTTACCGGCATGGCTACCACCGTTGATGACGTTGAAAGCTGGCACTGGCAGGATGATGTTGCCGTTTCCGGACAGCTCAGCAATGTGCTTGTACAATGGAATTCCCTTCTTGGCGGCACCGGCCTTGCAGATGGCCAGCGAGACACCGAGGATGGCGTTGGCACCCAGCTTCGACTTGTTCTCGGTGCCGTCCAACTTCAGCATCAGCTCATCGAGCTGGAATGTGAGAAGGTACGAATTAGAAATCTATTTTTAGGGAAATTACCAGATCAATGTTCGGCAATCAGGAGCGAAGGGAAACATTATTTCATTTTACGAACAATTCTGCAAGTTACCAAGCAAAGGCGTGCTTGCATAACTGAAAAACGACAACAAACAACAGGACGCTTTCGAACGCGGGTCAAAGAAAGGTGAACGACTTAACATACCTACCTATTACGAAACCGATCATTCTTGTCTGTATCAACAGAGCTCATGAAGTGAAAGTAAAAATAACATCACCACAAGTTCGAGAATCGGTAGTCACAAAGGCGACAGAGATTTCTATTAATAGATGTCTCTGTCGACCAAACAAGCAAATCAATCAAAGCATCCCCTCCAATTGCCGACCATGACACGACGATGGATACGTACCTCCTTCTGCTGGGTAACGCACAGATTCGAGCTCAGCACAGCTGGAGCGATGGTCTTGTTGATGTTCTCGACGGCCTTCAGGACGCCCTTGCCGTGCCAATCGCCCTTGACGTTGTCGCGCATTTCCAGGGCCTCATGGACACCGGTCGAGGCACCGGATGGGACGGCGGCACGGAACAGTCCCAGATCGGTGAGCAGATCGACCTCGACGGTTGGGTTACCGCGAGAGTCGAAGATCTGACGGGCCTTAATACTCTTGAATGGCATTTTGGATCTGGAACGAGAGCGATTCACGGTGAGAACAAGAGTCTACCGAGCGATCGATTGAAATGTATAACTTTCTACGCGGATGACGCGATGACCCCCCTTATCAGTAACGTTAGACCAGGTTGTTTTTGAACTGTACAGTGTTATGGTTCTTTAGTAGACTACGTAAGAGCAAATATGAAACGATGCTTACATAATTCCTCGTATCATCACAGGCAACTCTCACTATTGGATGTGCAGGTCTTCACGGTCAGATGGGAATGTCTATGGCTAATCAGTATTTGTTTTACGATTTTTTTCCGTTTTAACCTCAAATTACGTACGTTATTTTTAAATATATTGCTGGATTTCTGACTGGATAAAACAGTGGAGGAACAAAGGTTTGAAAATAGACTGTATTTTAAAAAATCTGGTACATTCCAAATGTGACCAAGGTCAGTGAAATAGTGGGGGTTTGCTATGCCCTCGACAAATCGTGAACATATTGCCCCTTACCATGGACGCAGCAAGGTGTTGAAATAGAAGGAGGCAATTTTGTTGTTGTGATTAATCCGAAGGCCCCTGGGTCGTACACCATTTAGGCCCAATAACAAAAATGAAAAATAATTTTATATTGTCTAATGCAGAAGTCCCAGGTCTTCAAAATTGTCCAAAGCACCAGCCCCTAAAAAATTGTCGAAGTCTCAGCGGCGACGAATATTTAGATACTTTAAATTGGTATACCGTATGCGTGATAATGTTTGCACCATCGTACAAATAAGGTTACAAATGCCTTGGTTTTCTTTGCATGCACGTAACCTATAGCTCATACCGTAGTAGGCTGTGCACAAAAGAAAATGATTTACTTAGTTTGACAGTTGCACCATGACGAAGTGGCAGCGTATTCGTGATTTGTCCCACGGGCAAATGTCGCAAAAAGACATTTCAATCGCCGTGGGAGTGTCCCGGTGGACCGTCAAAAGGGTTTATACCGAGAAAAGAAAGGACAACTATCCGCGAAGGTGGCCACAGGTCGTCCGAGGTCAGTCCGGGTTCCAAGGGTTATCGCTGCTATCAAAAGGAAGATTCGAGTGAATCCAGTGCGTTCAATAAGGAAAATGGCAAAGGAACACGGGATCAGTGACTTTACGGCCCGGAAGATCGTAAAGGAAGATTGCGGGGTGAAGTCACATGATTACCAACCGCATCCGGGAGCTACGAGTCGAACGATGCAAGAAAATCTTGAACTTCCTTAAGCGAAAAAATCCGGCAATCCTGTTCACCGACGGAAGCATGTCTACCGTCGATCCCGTATCAAATTCCAGAACCGACCGGTATATAAGTTCTCTTCCGGTAACAGACGTGGCCGACGAGCACAAGAACGTGTATCTGACCAAGCATCCTGCTAGCGTTATGGTGTTTGGATTGGTGGCTTCCGATGGCAAAAAAATGGACCCGGTGTTCATTCCAGAAGGCGACAAGGTCAACACGGAGGTCTACATCGGGATTTTAAGTAAGTATGTTCTTCCGTGGATCAAAGAACAGTACAGTCCGAAGCCAAATGTTGTATTTCAACAAGATGGGGCTCCATGCCACACCTCGAACCGCACTCAGAAGTGGTTGCAGGAACATCTTCCGTTCTGGGCTAAGGATATGTGGCCGCCATCCAGCCCCGATCTTAATCCGCTGGATTACTCAATATGGCGCATCATGAAGGCCAAGGCCTGTTCTAAACGCCACCAGAGTACAGCAAGCCTCAGACAAACATTGACCCGTACCTGGAGAGAAATGGATCCAGACTACATTATTAGAACCTGCCGTGCATTTCGGAAGCGTGTGGAGGCCATAATTGCAGCAAGTGGAAACTCGATCGATGATTAACATAGTTTAAGACTCTGAGAAACATCCCCCTTTACGCTCGTTGGGCTATGTTTAAGTGGACTACGTTTTAGTTGGAGTCCCCGTAGTTGGGCTATAGCTCACCTAAATCGAAGTCAAACGTCATTTCTGGCAGAGCCGTTTCCTTTTCGAGGGGTTCATGTATGAACAATTTGGATAGTTGCTGAAGAATAGTGATGATAATAAACATTCGGTGTATCCCTCATCAAATTTTCAGCTTGGCAGCTCAGGCCAACTAACGAAAGCCATTCATCATGTGCAAGCCCATTTGTACACAAGTTTACACTCAAGTACAATGAACAAGTTTACACTAAAGCCCTACAGTAAAAGCACGTATTACCAAGGCGGAGGCGGCGGGTTCGATTCCCGGTCTGGTCGAGGGAATCTTTCGGTTTGTAAATTTTCTCGACTTCCCTGGGCATAGAATATCATTGTGCTTGCCACACAATACACAAATTCATGCATTGGTATTGGCATCGAAAGCTCTCAATTAATAACTGTGGAAGTGCATTTAGAAAACTAAGTTTAGAGCACGCAATAAGCTAATATGCGCTAAGCAATAAGCTTGAAAATGCGAATAAGAAGAAGAAGATCATATACATAGTTGAATGTATTTCAGAGTTTTAAGAAAATGTTTCATAATTGTGGGGCTCAAATTTCGAGATCCCAGCCATTATTTCTTTTCTAAATTTTAGAACTTTTTTAACAATTTGATTTAAAGCAATATACACAATCAAAATTAATCATGTTTCTGCGTCAATTTTCTTTCAGGTGTCACCGCTGTTCTTAATGATTAACAGAGGGCAGTGCGGTCAAAACATGTACGGTACTTCTATATATGCAGTAAGATTAACATTCGAAGACCTTCCTCTTTTACAATTTTTTTTTCCTTGATTTGTTTTCCGTACTAATTACCAATGCTACCGACGCCAAGGAGGCAGCTCCCACACCTGGACCCTACCTATCGACCCATCCACTCATAGACCCGGGACCAACGGTTTTACTTCGCTTACACGAGTGATCAGAGACTTTATGCCTCAGAAAATCCCGGCGGCGCCACCTGGAAATCTTATTGCATAAATAAAGGTTCCAACATTTTTCAGTGCAAGGTACTATATTTTGTAGTCTGTGAAAGGGAAGACACATATCGTGTGGCATCAATATACATGGCATGTTGAGAGATTGAGCTCGTGAGAGAAAATTTTCGCATGTTTTGTTTTCAGCTAAATTTCTAGCACATTTAAAAGAATTAAGTAAAATAAATCCATAGAGCCGTCAAACATGTATGCATTTATAATAATAATCTGAACGAAAATGCCCAACACTATTCTTTTTGATAGGGGAAATAGCTCTAATGTTGGCCTATGGATCTAAGATTGGGCCCATCGCTAAAAATCTGCTATTTATCAATTTTATCTAGATGAACGTGTCATTGAGACGGTACTAATGGATATTTTTGGTGGCTATTGAAAATTTAGTCGACTGCTGAATTTATGTATGGGCCCATATTAGGGGCATTTAGGTCGACATTTCATCCATTTCCCCTACCAGGTGAATCTTTTTCACTGACAAAAAAAAGAATGAGACAATGTTGGTGTTATCATGGCATTGAACAGGTTTATAAGGTTTAGAATGAACTTGAATACCATAATAAAACCAGAAATGGCTTGGGAGCATTGACTATAAGCCCATAAGTCAATCCGCTGACATCGTTTTAAAATTCGAAATTATCAAAATGATCAGGCTATCCTTGCTGAGACACGGTAAATCCCACGCAACATTTCAAGTGCTATCGAGGTTTAAAAACATATCTAAAGTCTAAATTGTGGTTTAAGGCTATGAAAAATTGTTTACTTAGAATCCCTTCAATGACATTGACTTAACATTCCCGGTTCCTGGTGCCCTTGGGTATGTCCTCAATATAGTATTCCTTGAGCACAGTTGTCAATTGAAAGCATAAAAATATGTGGCTTTAACTTCTAAGTGACAAACTCAACGTTTCTCTAATATCCAGAAAAAAAATCACAAGCCCTCAGTTAGAACCCTCTTTATACAAAACCACTATTACCGGCTTCAGTACGAAAGGAGAAGGACTGATGATTTTGTTTCAGAGGTATAGGCGTGGTTTTACACCACCCAATCGTAATTGATTATTTTTACAGCATTTTAATCAATCAAAAATGCCATCAAATAACGTAAAAAGTATATGCTTCTTCAAATAAAAAATATGAGAAATGAGAAATATATAGTCGATGCATTAAAAGCCACCGTGTCTGTATTATAACAAAATACAAAAAACTCAAAATAGTGAACACCAACTAATCCATAAATGGCGGCGTGTTGGCGGCTAAAGCAACTTTCACTTTCATTTTCCGCTATGTACTTTCCCTGGAAATAGTTTAGAATGTATGATCTATCGTAGTTCACCATCTAGAGTAAGGTACATGTTTTAATATTACAACAGATTTGGTATTAAAAGAAACCTATTCATCATGCATTACATAAAATGCAACGATTCTTTGCAATCTCAATGAATGCATCCATTTTGAAAACCGTCGAAAATTGCGTTCACCGTCGCTCTCTAAGCCGACAAGCAATTGTCCCCTTGGTAAATGTTATTTAAACGCTTATTCACGGCTTCCATTTCACCGATTATAGCAGATTGAGAAAAAAAAAATGCTTTTTCATTCGACCTCTATCCATACCTAAAGGTCATATACAGTCAACCCATCACCACATCTAAGCGAAGCAAAGCCTCGCAATATCACTGAGATTTCGTGTAAAATTCGTTAGCAACTCTCTAGGGCGATGCTGTTGCAATCTGCCGAAAAGCAAAAGGGCAATTTCGTCAGAAGCACATCTTACGTAACGGTAATGTAATGTCTCCAAAGGGATCCACCATCTTTTCCATTCGCCACAGAATCCTAATGCAATGGAAAATTTTCCCCTGCGGGGGTGTAACATAGTCTACAGTCTAGACTATTGCACTTGATATGAATTTCAACGTTATTTGAAACGAAGTACAAACTACACTCTAATTTCTTCCAGTTCGAACCGACTGTTTCACTTTCAACTATGAAGCAGTTAAATTCTTGACATTGACCACTCTAATTGACCGGAATGACACCGCATGCACCGGGTGTGTGCAGTTACTCTTGGAGATCGTCCTTATCTATCACTGACAAAGGTAAAATCACATTACTCTTTACAATCGCCAACAGTCCGCCGATCCGTTACTGATAAGAAAATCTTTACTCGCACATCCAGCTTTCAAAGGAAAGCCTTATTTGTGATTAGTGAAACATGAGAACAGAAAATTCCCCAACTAAAACTTACTTTGCAATATCACTCACTAAGACCGAATGCACCACACTTTACAGTACAAGCTCTCTGGATAAACTGATGGGTGAAAATTTTTCCCGATGCCGAATAGCGGTCGTCGTTGGATGCGCGGATTCCCCTAGCAAGGTTTGCTTGTATGTTTCTGTTCCACGGACATCACCCGAGGTTGCTTTGGTCGACAGAAAAGCCGCTACGACCTTGGTAAAGGTGAACAGAGTGGCACTCGGGAACCGGCATAGGGCAGTAATATACACACGAGTCATGACAGATCGCAGTGAGCGGTGAGTTTGCCCCCGTTGTCATAGCATTTTTGTACGGTCGTCGATGATGTCGATGTTCGAGAGCGTGCACACGGATGTGTAAGCGTGGTTTGTAGTGACCGTTATTTCACCATTCGAAGTGGTTATTACGTGCATTTGTCAATCGATGATGCTATGAAGTGATAGGTGTTTCAGAATTGAATTGAATCATGGTGATGAGATCGACACAGTTAATGACGCTATAGTTATTTACTTTATACAGCATGACTTTATGACCTAATAACAGGGGCGTAGCGTCACTCGATGACATCCGGGGCGGATGGATTGGGTGTCACTGTCAACCAGTTGCGTTCACTGTAAAAAGGCTACTTATCATTTATACGATGATATTATCTAAACACTCTTTTCCATTTATCAAAATTTTTTAACGTAGGACGACGTCTGTGATTTCTATATGGGGGTACACTTTGTGAAAACCGAAAATGGAACATGTTACAAAATTATGAAAGATTTTGAACGTTAATAACTCCGTTGCCCCTGGATCAATTTCAATAATTTTATCACCAATCGGTCAAAAATATTTCTACGCATCTGTTAAATTTAAGACTTGAGGATTGAAGTAGGCCACGCTGCGAAAATGGCGTGTTTTTGTTTTGCTGGGTCGTTTTCGTTCTAGTGAAAATGTTAATTAATTTACAATTTCATTTTAAAAAGTGTTAATTTGAAAGTACAGAAGTGATGTTGAAAAGTGCATGAAGTGAGCATTTTCAAATTCTTAGCCGTTGCATGTGGTGCCGACTGTTCTAACCTATGTGTAGTTACGCTCAGCTAAGTTTATTTACCTTTTCGTTCCTCTGTCCTCTATAGGAAATATCCATCTAATTCAAGAAGATCATTTTCAAACTTACTAAATACGCGTCAATCAAGTATTGCACTACTGCTTGATTGTAAGTTTCAGTACATTTTCAATGGTGTATATTTACATCGATAATGTATTTTAGCGGAGCTTATCATGTGTGGAAGTGGCTTCGGAATGCTTGCGTTCTTGAAATGGGCTATTGTAGCTGCGGTAGAGCTGTCACCTTCTAACTCCCGAGTTCAAGCTTCTTTCAAAGATTTCAAAGTTGAATTCCATTCGGTCTCACCAAACGGTGTTTATTCAATCGCCGCGTGTTCTTCAGTACACAACGAAAGTCTCCCCGCAAGCAGCTAGATCAAGGCTGCCCTCAACCGCTGATCGGATTCAGTCCAATCACCGTGTGTGGTGGTGTCCGGTCGTCGGCATCAGCAGCTGCTTTTGGCGCGTGGCGTTCAGCATTGTTTTCCATTACACAACGAAAGGCTGCCTGCAAGCAGCGAGCTGCAGCCCACATGATCATCCATAGAAAGAGGAAGAAGCTGCACCGCTATTGATCGAAATCAGTAGCTCTTCGTGAGTTGCTGTGGGCCATCTATGTCAAGCGCGTCATACTAAAGAGTATAAACAGAGAGAACCCCGCTCAAATTCCTATTCCTACACAAAACACAAGCTCCTGCTGCAGTTAACAAATAAGATTTATTAAATAAGACCACGTAGTTCTACGTCACCATTGCGTACAACCACATAGGGCTGTCCCTTGTAGTTTTTAGCTGGTTACATCTCCTAATTTGGTAAATGTTAAAAACTGTTCCCTGCCTGGGGTACGAGTGCTCTTTCCTAACATTCCAAAATTTAGGCCTATTCTGCGCGGCGTGTGAAGTAAGATGACTCGTTGTCACTAGTTAAGTGACAATTGTCACCTCGGGTGAGGTGACTCTCCTTTTGATTTGCATGGAGACTCACCTCACCCGAGGTGACAATTGTCAATTCACCATCACCTCACACGCCGCTCAGAATAGGCCTAATTGAAACGGTTGAATCATAATGTTTATCAATTTTCAATTCAGAGAAAGATACCTCAATCATTATTATTCTCAAACGAAATTGCTTAAATGTTCTACAAATTTTATTTTACGAGTAACTATTTACATTTTTAATAGAAGTGTTTTGAATTTCATCTCACTATTCAAAGTGTTTTCATATAGTTATGCAGGTTTATGAAGCTTATAAATGAATGTTTCAAATCCTGTAGCAACGATTCAAAGGCAATTAGAATTCAAACCTATAGGACTTTGTTCGGATCTCTCCTGCAGCCAATACTTCATCCAATTCCCTGCAAGAGTTGTTAAAGTGTGGTGATAAATACCAGCGCCGAGATCATAACCAGCAACAGCAATAACTAGGTTACCCTCAGGTTCATCCACTTTTGTAACCAACGTGATTACTACAGTTGCTTGGCGTTTCCGGTAGCAACAATATCGGTAGTCACGGCTCAAATGGGTCAATTCCACAGGCACGGTAGCCAGATACATAGCGTCAAACAAATCAGGCACCTTCCTCCTCGGATGAGCATTCTTCATATAGATACCAGTAGCTCAACCTGTTTAAGTAATATGGATTCGTTCAATAAATATTATGATACCCTTGTGCATTCTTCGACATATCAGATAGGCTTTCTTTAAAAAAAATGTTTTATTCATCTAACAATACAGGTATACTTCGATATAACGTAACTGTCAGTTTTGACTTCCATCGCCTGTATCTCACAAATCTTGATAGAGCTGGAATTAGGGCGTAACAGCTTTTGTAAACAATCTCGATGATTTCTCGAAACTCAAGACACGCCCACGCAAACCAACATAACCAACGGGACCGATGGGGACGTTGATTTGAGTGGGCGAGCCTTGGTTTTCTAGAAATCATCGAGAGAAGTCATTGCTAACAAATGCTGTTAGGCCCTAATTCCAGCTCTATCTAGAAATATCAATTCAATCATACAAATTGGCATGACCAATAGATGGATGATTGTCTCACATCTTCGATGGTGTTATTACTTTGCTTGATTTAATGATTGCTAGCTATTAAACAGCGATGGAAGCCAAAAGTGACAGTTACGTTATATCGAGGTACACCTGTTTACATTTCAACAACCTAAACCCGATCCTTAACCCCTTATAACCTTCCCCTTGGCAAACAACAGAATTGTATTCAGCACCTCGAGAAGTTGTTCACCTCGAGGATTAGATAAACTTTTTTATTTTCAAAATCCCTACTAATCTTCAGGTAGCCGTCCTCCGCTTGTAGCCGATTGAACAGTTTCGCATTCGCCTCAAAGTTGTTATCGCTGTCGTACTGTTCCCAGGGATGAAGATTCCAAGTCCAGCTTGCCGAAATCCATCAGAAACTTGAACTGTGTCAGAATGTACTGGTGTTTGGCGCGTGTTTCCGGATTTATGAGGATCCGACGGAGTTTAGCTTGAGGCCTCCCTTAGCTCAGTTGGTAAAGGCGCAGCTACAAAGCAAGACCATGGTGGAGGTGGCTGGGTTCGATTCCCGGTCCGGTCTAGGAATTTTTCGGGTTGGAAAATTTCTCGACTTCCCTGGGCAATAGAGTATGATTGTACTTGCCACACAATTATATTAATGCAGAAATGGTATAGGCATAGAAAACTCTCAATTTATAACTGTGGAAGTGCATCTACACGGTTAGAAAAAAGTACCCAAAATTAAGTTATTTTCACTCATCTCGGCACTATAGTGCAGGAACCCAAAAGTAGGTAAAGTGGGTCAAAGTAATTTTCATTTACTTGTGTGCAGTTCGTATGGAATTTTCCACTGGCTTTTTAACCAAAAGTAAGTTAGTTGTACCCAATAGTAGGTAAATATGATTATACTCAACGTTGGGTTCCCACACTTTACTACCCCTGTTGGGTGGTTTTGCTCCTCCGTTTTTGACAACACTAGAAGGAGAAAAGGAGACAAACTAGTCAAAAGTAGGTAAAAGTGAACTGGCCGTTGGGTACTTTTTTCTTACCGTTTAGAACACTAATAGCGAATTCGTTTATTATCGGGGCTAGAACGGGGTGGAAACTATCGATTTTAAATTGGCTCACTACTTGACTAGCCTATTGGTCCCAAGCAAATCGATTAACGTAGCCCATTCTAGTCTAAATTCTTGTACTACACAATGTTTGTTTTGAATCGCTATGAAAGTTTGACAGATAAAATGATGGGTTAGTGAATTTTCCGAAGATAGAACCAGAGCTGAGCCAAAAAGTTGAGCACGTTTCTTCGGGACCTACTAGCATAGAGGTAACTAAGGTCCCGAAAAAACGAGCTCAACTTTTTGGCTCAGCTCTGGTACTATCAACAATCAATACGAAACTAACGATTTTAAATTGGCTCACCACTTTAGTAGCCTATTGGTCCCAAGCAAACGATTAACGTACCCTATTCTAGTTGAAATTCTATTACTACACTATGTTTGTTTTGATTCGCTATGAAAGTTTGACAGATAACATCAGGGGTGTGTGGATTCATGCAGAACATGCAGGGGTGAGTGAAATAGCTTGGGACTGCTTCGGACCGTTGTTCTGGTACTGAGTGAGCCAAAAATAATAATGATTTTCTTCGGGACCCAGTGGTCTTAGAGTTACCTCTATGGTACTATCTTCGGTCCCAAGCTAATCGATGCACCCCTCGAAACATAGGAAAATCCACGAACCCCTCATTTTATCTGTTAAACTTTCATAGCGAATCAAAACAAACATAGTGTAGTACTGGAATTTATACTAAAATGGGGTACGTTAGTCGATTTGCTTGGGACCAATAGGCTAGTCAAGTAGTGAGCCAATTTAAAATCGTTAGTTTCGTATTGATTGTTGCTACTAGTCTTAGAGTTACCATGCATAGCGAATCAAAACAAACATAGTGTAGTACTAGAATTTCGACTAGAATGGGGTACGTTAAACGATTTGCTTGGGACCAATACGCTAGTCAAGTAGTGAGCCAATTTAAAATCGTAAGTTTCCACCGGAGCTTAGTACCAGAGTTGAGCCAAAAAGTTGAGCACGTTTCTTCGGGACCTTCTGGTTTTATAGTTACCTCTATGGTATCATTGTGCTTGCCACACAATAAACAAATTCATGCATTGGTATTTGCATCGAAAGCTCTTAATTAATAACTGTAGAAGTGCATTTAAAAGACTAAGATGAGAGCATGGAATAAGCTAATATACGATAAGCAATAAGCTTGAAATGCGGAGAAGAAGAAGACGTATAACCATTTTCAGAACAAATGCTACTACATAAGAATGCAAGCGAATATACGCAGACATCTACGACATTTCTGGAAATTAGTCAATTCTAAACGCAAGGAGAATGAATTGCCCATCAACATGTTTCTGGACCAAGGTTGATGATCGATAATCGTCGGCTCGAGAGCTATTGATCAGTTGGTGCGGTTCGGTACGTAAGACGAGATGCTTTTTCTTTTTTTTCTGGGGTCTGTTTCGTTTTGAGGGACAAATCAGATGCCGCGACCACGATCGAACATATAGGCTTGCAACTTGACTACCCTATAGGGTAGGTGTTCCAGTAACAGTGGTGTACCTATAGTTGCGGTATGGAGGTTGTGCCGGAATAGTGAGGAGGATCCGGATAAGATTATTTTTCATCGGTAGCTCTCCTAAAATAAAGCATATTTGCATATTTCATACTTAATATTAGCCCAAAAAATTACGGAAAATCTATAATTTTCCTTAAGATTTTCACTCCTTTGCACTTATAGTTGCAGTAGTGTTCCTATAATAGTGGAACCCATAAGAAACCAACGCATTCCACTATTATAGGAACCAAAGTTAGCAACTACCACAACTACTGGAACAGTGTTCGTATTAATGGAGGACGATCTTTTTAAAATTTTATACAATTTTATTACAATGTAATATTTTTCTATCAAAATATAGGTTGAAAGCTATAAATTGACGTATAACAATTGTGTGTACATCGTATATTTATTTTTTAATTGATAAATCGGCTTAGTACCTCCACTACTGGCTCACCCACCCTAATTAGATTTCGTTTTGTTTGGAAAAGTTTACTAATCCTAATTTATTTTTAATACCTTGATCATCGGTCGCAGTGATGTAATGTGATGTAAGGGGCTCGGTTGGCTATAGTGTCTACCATTTTTGATTTCTGAGGTTGCATTTAAAGATCGCCTTTTAAAGTGAATTCAGATCTAAATCGTACTTTCCACTATCAAAAACGTCCTTCGTGTGACACCCGTGGAGTTGCAGAAGAATTCTCGGTTTCTTGTGAGAACGCGATTTTAACTAAAGAGCCACCCACATTAGATCAGTTTGCGTTGCGTTGACGTAAATATGACAGTTAGACAATAGATTTAGCTGTCACTTTGCCGCAACGCGTCCGATCCGGATCTAATGTGCGTGGGCCATAACAATCCCCTCGCTGATGAACTTATAGACTTTGCCGGCACCGATAATGATCTTTAAAATACTAGTTCACCGGAGTCGGTCATCAGCGTTCATACTCACATTGCTTGCTCGTCGTATTTTATGAGGCAGTAAGGCCTACTTAGTGAAAACGGTTTTCAGTCAAGTGCTATTCCTAATATTTTCTCGAAATTTTCCCTTAATACAACCCATCAAGCGCCATGAGCTGCCGTTTTGATAACTGTACCTTTTACCTTCAGTTTCCTTTTCATAATTGCCCAGTAGTTTACAATGGGCCTGAACTGTGGACAATTGGGCGGATTGAGGGTTTTCGGAACAAACTGGACTTCGTTGTCATTTTACCATTGTTGTACTTCCCGGCTGTAGTGACAACTCGTAAGATTCCGTCATGTGACTGGATGAAGGGCAGAATTCGCTTCTGGAGACATCCGGTTTTGTAAACCTCCGAGTTCATCTTTTTTTCAGTGACTAAAACCTCTGCGCCGTCTGGCCGCAGCTGCAAATTCCCTTCCAGATCATATATTTGCGTGCGAAATTATCCGCAAAAACAAATTGGAATCCGCCAGGAAAACCTCCTCGAGTCTTCGCCTTGTAAAATGTTAGTCCTGGAAGCTGTCCGAAGTCAGCCTTTACATAGGTTTCATCATCCATAAGAATGCACCCACCGAACTTGGTTAGCAGGTTGTCAAACAGTGATCGATTTGGTTGCCTACTGGCGCGGTATGCTTGTAAGCCTTCGCTGTACTGTACTACGGGCGGCATCACACTTTTTACTCAAATCGCGATCGGACATACCTGGGTTGCTTCTGATGGACCTCACGACCGGTTCTACTCCGCCGTTTACTTTACTACAGATGACAGTGCACGATTTTTTTTCTAAGCTCCCCTTGCATGGTAACTATCTCCAAAACAAGAGCGTTTTATGAACTGAAAAAATATACTGTTATTGTTGTTGTCAACAAATAGACGTCAAAAGCTTCCGCAAACCTCCACTAGGAGTTTGTTCCATTACCATGTGGGCCTTGGTTTAGTAAGTCGGACAGAAGGTGTTTGTTGCGATATGAGTTACTCGGCTGCCTTACAAAGTAGTTACTGAGCAGAAGATCGTGGAATCAAACCCAAACCCCATCATATTAAGGAGCTTTATAGTCACATTGTTTACTCAACCTGTGTTTTGTGAAACTTGTCGTCGTCGTCGTCGGTGCCGGGTTTGAATCGTTACAACTTGATCATAAGTGGTGTGATGTGATATGAGGGGCTCGGTGGCCTTGGAGCGACCTTTTTGCTTACTGAGCAGAACATCATGGCTTTAATCTCAGGCCTTCTCACATCCAAGATTTGTTAGTCGCTTTCTTTCTTAACTTGCACCAATAACTTAAATTCATCGTACCGTACCGTTACACGTTTTACCGGAGGAATCGTGTTCGGGTGTTAATTGACCTTTGTTCGGACGTGGCCGGCAGTGGTATTGCCTACTACAAAGTTTGAGAACAAGTCCAACATATGAAAATTGTTTTGAATCAATCCGTCTTTTTAATGTATGCCTATTGAGCTGTTCTGCCTTATGTAAGATGGTTTAGGTGGTCTGCTTCTTGAGATTCCACCTTTTGATGGGGTCTCTTCAGGACTGAAGGTTAAATTAAAACGTTTAAAAAACATTGGGGGAAAATTTGCAACGAAGCATACATGTTATGCGATCTGAATTTTATATTAATCATTTAAAATTTATTATGCTACGACTGCTTCAAAAAACTTTTTTTCTGAACACATTATTCAGAAAGTTTGTGTAGTTAATATTGAAAAACCTAATTCCTAAATACGAACCTGCTAAGAAAGCGATGCCCTTAAAGTCGACATTACACCTTGTAGGTCTATTCTGCGCATGATCGTGGACAATCTTCGTAAAATTCAAACAACCAACGAATCAAATCGTTCGTCAATTGCCGGCAATACACAGGAATAGCAAAATAAATCAATCACACAGCGCTATTGAAACATCACGAGCATGAAAGAAACGTTGCTCGCTCCGCCACACGCTTCGGCACCACAGCTCACACTCATATCCTTTGACCCAAAGCGCTAAGATTAAACGAACCCGGTAGACGCACGCGACATTTGCATTTTCACTTTCTCTTTCTCGACATTACATCATCCTATAATACCCTTTGAGGAATGCGGGTTCAAGGCGCTGCCAAAAACAGAGGATTCCGCATTTCTCGGCTTGTTCGTGTGGCTTTCTTTCCGTAGTGATTGAAACGGGAAAATGCCCAAATGTATACTTTGTCACACAAAATGTAATTCGTTATTATTTGTAGAAATGTGAACATGTTCACCCTAAAGCTAGCAACATGTAATATGGTAGTCAGTGTTGTTGTATGAAAAAAAATTAAATACAAACATAGAAAGGAATCTTTACAAATACTTAGCGTCAGTTTGCTTCCACCGAGACCTCCATCGGCTGTGGTGCCGCAGCGGTGACCGGTGTTGGCTCCGGGACATTACTTTCAACATTCTCATTCTGGGAGTCGCATTGCTGAACCGTATCCTCAGTTGTAGCCTTGGGCAGCGACTGGTCGGTTCCCGGATCCGATTGCAGACTCAAGTTCGGGTTGAAGAACGACTGCGACCGCTGTTGTGTTGAGGCGTAGTGGTACTTCGGGGGATCGTTCTTCATCGTTACCGAATTTGTACAATCGGTTACCTTGTAGATTCCGACCAGGTAATCGGACAGCTCGAACATGTTGGAGCGCAACGAAATGATGACAAACTGGGCATTTTTAGTTCGTTCCTATGGGAGCAAAAAAATGGAAAAATTTGATTGAAAAGTCTCGATGTATGAACCTTTCAACTACCTTAATGTAATTTGCTACGATTGAAACGTTCTTGAAATCCAACGCCGCATCAATTTCGTCCATCACGTACAACGGAGATGGTTTGTAGTAATGAAGGGCGAACACCAGCGCCAACGATGAAAGCGTCTTCTCACCTCCCGACAAGTTAGAGATCATTTTCCACGACTTTTTCGGAGGACGAACACTGAATACAATACCCTCGTTGAAGGGATCCATCGAATCGACCAGCTCGAGTTCGGCGTCACCGCCCAGCGTAATCATCCGGTACATTTCCTTTAGCTTTTTCGTAATGATGTGGAATCCCTGCATAAACTCCGTGAACCGTTTCTTCCGCACGTCATCGTACAGCTGACGCATTTCGTTTCGTTTGGCGGTAATTTCCTCCAGGATGGTCACCCGCTGCAGATAGGCTTCCTGCTTCTTCAGGTATTCCTCTATGACGGAGAGATTCGGTTTGCTGGAGTTGAGCTTCTCTTCCAGGTAGGCTATTTGATACTGCAGATCGGAAAGTTTGTAGCTGTCCAGCTCTTCTTCGGTGTAGTCCTTCAGCGGTTCCGGGGCAGGTTCGCCGGGAATCTCGTGTATTTTTAAGGGTTTCAACTGAAATTAAAATGAGGTAATCGTTATTCGATATGTTCCAGGCTGAGCTCAGCAATATATAATCTGTCATTGTCCAATTATATGTACATAGGTTGAATGTGAACAGTTGTTATTACCTATCTGTTAAGGGATTCTAACTAATAAGACAGGTAGAATGCTGCCATGGGGAGGAGATTTAATTTCAACTCAAGAAGTTTGGTTTGGTTTGGATTCTTAATTTAGGGGACTCAAGCCAAGAAGAGTTTCTTTCTACTCATGAGCATAGGATATCCAAAGCGAATTTGTAATTTGAGACATAGATTATTATGCAATGCAGTCTGTATCAAAATACGTATTTTTCAAAGGATTTCAGAAGAGAATTGCAAGTACATTGCAAGAAGAAATGACCAATTTTGAGAAAAACCTCAATGTGAATTTTAGAAGAAATCCAAATACAAATTTTCTTTACTATACTGGGGGGTCCATTAAGAAATCAAAAACGAGACATGTAACGAAAATGGGAGATGTTTTCAAATGCATATTTCTCCAAAGCATTAATGTGCAATATGTCATGCAATATACCATTCGACGGAGAATTTATGCAGCAATTTTGAGGCGTATAGTACAAATAGCGAGAATAGTTAAACAACGAAAAAATTTAACTAAAATTGGAAGCATCAAGTTTTTTTTTTTTTTTCCTTTGGTTTGTTTTTTCCGTCGATCTTGTTTTCCGTGCTGAGCACCAATGCTACCGACGTGCCAGGAAGGCAGCTCCCACACCTGGACCCTACCTATCGACCCATCAACTCATGAACCGGGGACCAACGGCTTTACTTCCCATCCGAAGGAAGGCGTGATCAGAAATGTTATGCCTCAGAACATCCCGGCGGCGCCGACTGGGATTGAACCCAGGCCTGCTGGGGTGAGAGGTAATCACGCTTACCACTACACCACCGGCGCCGTTGCATCAAAAGTTCCCATACATTTGCTTAGAGGACAAGGTACCTAACAGAGACAACACATAGTTGGTACCAAACGAAACAAGCCGAAGTCGCATTTCCTTTCAAACTTTGGACGTGTTCATATCGTTCATATTACGAAGTAGCTCAACACAGACGATACGGGCCGGTGGAAAGGCTACCAAGGCTGCCTGCAAGAGCGCTCCAGCCAGAGAAGTAGTGACGAAGCCCCATCGCCACTGTTCGGGTGCAGTTGATGATGATGGTCCCACCTCTTACCACTACAAAGGTTTGAACTGGACGAGTTATCTTCAAGATAATTAAATATAAACATTCTAACCAGGTTTGCAAACAAAATCGAGCTGGTTACAATTACAGATATAAATTCCCTGGTAAATATGCTATAGGCATCAACCAAAAACATTTTCAGGTGTATCTAGTTATCAAGAGTCCAAGCATAGTCCTCGGCAATACTTCCATTTACACGTATAAGCTTCCGCAGTGCCACGACTATATCCAGGGAAACGACTTCCAGCCATTTATACCTGTATTCCGCGCGCGATGCTCAAACCATTGTAGACTACTAATGTTGGCCTATGGATCTAATATTTGGCCCATCGCTAAAAATCTGCTATTTATCAATTTTATCTAGATGAACGCGTTATTAGGACGGTGCTTATGGATATTTTTGGTCGCTATTGAAAATTTAGTCGATTGCTGAATTTATGTATGGGCCCAAAGGGGGAGGTAGCTCATCGATTCTTCCGGTTCGCCTCCTAGCTTCGTGCTATAAGGTACCAGGCGATAACCAGGGTAGTTGATCGATAGCTCGATGACGTCATTTCGTTGGCGTCTGCAATGGGAAATTCTCATAGCAGGCGTTGACGATGGGACGTTGTCGAGTTGTTGAATAGCAACTATCGTGGTAACTCACCGATTACCTGTCGATCTGCCAAATTTGGAAAGACGTCTGCATTGAATTGTCTCATATAATAATATTCCGTCCACTATATCACAAGAAATTGCGAGTAGCTGAGTGGAATGGAGATAAGTTAAGCATTGGGTACAGGACCAAGTCTCCCCTGGGTGGTGCCAGAAGATGAGCGCAATAGAATCACCAAGTTGCCATAAGGCACGGAATGAGACTATTGCATGGCTGGGTAGTCAAAGTCTTCCACTCGTTAGTCATTTCAGGTGGATTAGAACAGGTTTAGGTTTAGGGTGGGCGTTGGCCAGATTTGGATTTTTCAGATATAATCCTAAATAGGACCTAGATTATTTAATACACTAGTAACCTCAACTTCTGTCACAATGTTTCATTGTGACTAATTAACGAAATTAACGAAATTATTAACGAAATAAACGAAATTATTATTATTATTCATCGGACAAACCACGGTCTACATGAATTAACTTACACTAGGCACCCTTAACACTATAGCATTGATCGAAGTCGTTGAATGAAAACATTAATACTAACATTGAAATCAAATAGATAAAAAAAACTTGGTTGAATTCAATACACATTGCCCTAATAGGTTCATTCTGAGCATAATCGGTCCTCTGAAAGTTAAGCCTCAAGATCTGCCGTTGACGGAGTTGTCTGGGTGTAATACCAAGGTTTATTCGAGAGAGTATGTAGGGAGCATCAATTTCTCCTAACAGCAGCTTCGCAACAAATACTGCTTTCTGTTGGCGTCGCCTGCTTTTCAGAGTTGTCATTCCTAGCAGGAGACAGCGACTCTCGTACGGTGGTAAATCGTTTGGGTTATTCCAAGGCAGGAACCGGAGCGCGTATCTTACGAATCGTGATTGAACTGCTTCTATCCTTTTTATCCAGACCTCGTGGTGAGGACTCCACACGACAGAAGCAGATTCTAGCCCGGAACGTCCAAGGGAGTAGTACAGTGATCGTAAGCAGTACGGGTCGCGAAACTCTTTCGGAATGCGGAAGATGAATCCCAGATTTCTGTTAGCCCTAGCGATGATGTTGGAGTAATGATCCCGAAACGTCATTTTGCAATCAAGCTCCACTTCAAGATCCCTGATGCTTGTGACTCTTTCCAATGCTTCTCCACGAATCGTGTATGGCCAGCAGATTGGAGATTTCTTCCGGGTGAAAGATATCACGGCACATTTTTCACACTTATAACGAGATGATTCCTGTCACACCAGCCTTCGAAGAGATCAATATACTGTTGAAGCTTCTGGCAGTCTTCTATAGATCGTAAATGGGTAAAATATCAAATTTGCGGTAAATTTGAAAAAAAGAGAACTTGGAGTGTAGAGCGCACTGCCCACTGGACGATTCTGAAGCCTGACCAAGTGAGTGGGTTACGGGATTATTTATACGTACGTCATTTCCAAGTTATATATAGATACATTCATACCATTGGCATTTTGTATTTGAGATAAGACAGAGACAGGATGCGGAGGGCCCGCTTAGGGGGAGCGTAACCCATGTTATGGCTTCCATTTATTAAATAATTCAGATAGGCTGGACATTATAGGTTCATGGTGAGAAAATGTACCATATGGTGCCCGTTCACTGATCAAAATTAGATTCAAATCGTCAGGCCCTGCCCTGGAATAAGGGGATTGACGATGAGTTACAGTGCCGCATTATCTAACAACCACTGCCTGCAACTAATGTTGGAGGGGTCGACAGGGCTGATTACGGATCAAAACTAACATAACTCTAACACTGAAATGATCCCGAAACTAACGCTCATTCATTGCACTTTGAGTCATAAAGTAGTTTTATTTATTTTCCCCCTCCCCATGGACATGGAGGTTGACGGTACTGAAGCAAAGGGTTATGTTTAATTTCTTTACATTTGCAACGATGATGATTTCCTATAGTGACACATATCACCTTCTTAATGCTTCAGTATACCTCAAACGATTAATTCTTGGTTGTTAATAGAACTTCCTTGATGAAATCGGCTGCTTCATGCAGACTGAGCAATTCTGATTATAGTATCAGATTTGTTCTGTATACAGAGGAACTGGGAGGGCTTATTAGAAACTTCTCACCAATAAAGTAATGATCTTCTAGTAAATTTTGCATATCATTTTATTAAAATTTTATTTTATTTTAGCATATTATTTTTGTTACAGCCAATTGGCATTAGTATACGATACAAAAGATTTAATATTACTTGCTCGTTTTTGCGTAAAATAATCAATATTTATTTTACTTGTAATTACCTATGAAAGTTTTTTTCAAGTTTTTTTTTGTGATCTGAAAATTTACCCAGTTTCGAAGCTAACGCATGTCCACAGGCCTAATAGAAAGATAGGCAGAAAAAGTGTAGGGTAAACGCTCCTATAGTTACGGTACGTTAGAAGCGTTAGGTTCCTATAGTTGTGTATGGAGACTCCATACACAACTATAGGAACCTAACGCTTCTAACGTACCGCAACTATAGGAGCGTTTCCCCTATCATGAAGAATGGTTGCATGCAGGGTTGCTTCCACTCACTTGCTATAGATGAGTGATTTTCGGAGTTTTGAATTCGTTAGATGTTGTAATGGAGATTTGTGCTGTTGGATGCGGGAGAAGATTGGAGGGCGGGTGTTTGACGCATAGAGCCTGTCAATTTCGCTTTCAGAGTGTCGCAGTCAGCGGTTTTATGATTCGTGAGCGCTTACGATTCGTAGAATCGTTGATTGTGACTGCAAGTGGATTTTACGGGTTTTGTGTGTCGGACGCTTGCTTTTTGGCCTCTTCTTGTGTCTAACATGTGCAGAGTATCATTATAACGTCTAATGGTTTTGAGATTCCTGGTGGCGTGAAATATATTTGTGAGAATATCTTTTTGAGATCTTAGCAGTCACGTTTTGTTTGTAGTTTATATTTTATTTATTTCATTTAATTATCGTAAATATTAGTTATTCAATAATAGATAGTTCATGCATATATTCGTACTTTGACGCGAAGCGCTGTGGATTATAAGATGCTCGATGACCCTCGAGGGATCGATTTTGCTTACTGAGCAGAAAATCATGGATTTAACCCCAAGCTCTTCCACAGCACAATAAATCGTCCACCATTTGTAT